GGAAAAAAAAGCAAAAAGGAGCACAAGAAACAAAATATTTTGTGAGCACATGCGACATTGTCTTTATTAAAGGGTGTAACTCAGAGGAAGTTTCATGCTGTAGTCGTGCAAAACAACGGCAAAGAAATTAAAAAACTGTTCTGGACGTGCGAAGTTTTTTTGCCGTTCTCGTCGCTCTGAAGTGCGGAGAGTTCTCGATCGATAGGATGAACATGTCAAAAACCAAAGATTGTGGGCGTAAATTGTCAGCCATTATATTTTTGGGTAATCAAATGATATACTCGTGAAATTAGGGAATAAATTCACTTGCTTTTTTGTCTAAATACTTATAATTTAGGCTCGGTTCATTATTAGAATTTTGACCAAACGCTCGTGAAATTATTCCCTAATTTCACTCGTTACCATTTGCTTACACATACTTATTGCTCATTTGCGTTAAAAGTCCGCATTACCAGATGGGTTGTTATGTTTTTACGCTGTTAATTCCAGTAATGCCTTTAATTGACTAGACGTTTATAGTCTAAAATAGAGTCAACGTACTTTTGTTACAAAATCCCTTTAATTAGTTAATCTCGTCATTGACTCATTTTCAATTTAATTTATCACGTTAATTGGTTTTTGAATCCTTGTCCTATTTTTTTCAAAAAATCTGTTTAATTATCGAATCATTCCACTCAATGCTGTAACTTATATAATTGGCTTCTAATAATACCCCCTATTTGTTAATGATTTCAATGCCTTTATGCTGTAGTTATCTCTTTAATTATTCAGTGACTCGGTTTCAGTTATTTGCGGTTGATTTGTTTATGCAATGTCCTATTGTTTAAGTTATACCATTGATTAGAAAATGCTATGAATGCCCGGTTGCCATAGTTACTGCTGTTACATACCTTTCTTTAATGAGTAATTGACGTCACTAAATCATTTTCACTTCAATGCCGTTAGTTGGTTGGGGAATATCTTATTGCGAAAAAGGGACCAACCACGAATCTGCACAGGGAGCCTTGTTTGTAAAATCCCTTGCTTGAATTATTTGTGCAGTTGATTCACTTACCCATTCATTTGTTTGTAGCCATATTTGGGATGCCACATATATGACTGTCCCTGAAATAAAGATAAATAAGCAAGTTTAATGAGCAACACCCCGCACAAGCGCCGCCCTTACTTTTTTGAAAGCGGGAAAAAATCTTGTAAACCACAGCGCTGGGTTTTGTTTTCCTCCGTTTCGTTCGTGTATTTCTTACACGATATTCCTGCGATTAACCATGCCCATACCAAAAGGAATATCTAACTCAATCTATCCTCTTCACCCCCGCGAGAAATCTAAGAACTACAGGAAGTATCGCCAAAAGCTTTTTGCGCAAACAGGTAATACTGGATAGTTCGGGTGGACAGTGTAAGCAATGATTGGTTATTGGTTGCCTTGGAGACCATCGACCAGCGAACGATACCCATTCTTCCTGCAGTGTTTGGAGTGGCCAATCATTCGTGTGCTAATGGGACGAAAGGCTGCACGTTCCTCGGCCTGCACGCGTTGCCCAAAACAGTGTTATATAACATAACTGGGACTTTTAGAAGATTAATATAACTCCTTTGCTTGTTATTGGTCAGGCGGTGGAATCGAAGATTTTAACGGGATTTTTTAAAACAAGTGAAGTCAGTTTTATATCAATACCAAGTAAGGTGCTCCCTGAACATGAGTCTAGAAATCAATCTTGAGGATTTCCCAAACTTGCTTTCCGTTTTCGAGGAAATTGAACGGAGAGAATTGCGGAGATCATTTCCCAGTGTTGATCCTGAACTGGAAAACCTCCTCAATCGAGAAAGGAAACCAAGAGCCTTTACAACGTTGGAAGGAAAGCCAGAAGAGCGTAACACTGATCCCGAGTTGTCTAAACAAGATGGAAGGCAAAGAACCTCTTCAGCAAAAAAAATACCCACGGCATTAGGTGGCAAAGCAGGGAAATTGCACAAGTCAAACAGAGCAACAGAAACTTCAGGGAAACACAAACGCCTCAGCCGACGCGCCAGTGAACCAGTCCGTCACACGTTGGACGTTTCACAATCGCGTTTTCGAATTCACAGCGAGCCGCCGTATCTTCCTGTTGATCGTGACACGCTGTTAACAGATAGGCGATTTACTAACGCTGCCAGGAACTTAAGTGACGAAGAACTGGCTGAGTTGTACGAAGATATTTTAAAGCCTTTGGATTTCTATGCCATGTTGCATGAAAGGAGAAAGCAGTCGTAAGGAGAGGAATAAGGTATTATTATAGAAACTGTACAGAACAGTAAGCGTAATCGTGGAAAGGAAATGAAAAGTGACCTCAAGTATAAATAATAAGTGGCCACTTGTTGTCTTTTCAAATTTAAAAAAGCCTTCTTTNCGCCTCAGCCGACGCGCCAGTGAACCAGTCCGTCACACGTTGGACGTATCACAATCGCGTTTTCGAATTCACAGCGAGCCGCCGTATCTTCCTGTTGATCGTGACACGCTGTTAACAGATAGGCGATTTACTGACGCTGCCAGGAACTTAAGTGACGAAGAACTGGCTGAGTTGTACGAAGATATTTTAAAGCCTTTGGATTTCTATGCCATGTTGCATGAAAGGAGAAAGCAGTCGTAAGGAGAGGAATAAGGTATTATTATAGAAACTGTACAGAACAGTAAGCGTAATCGTGGAAAGGAAATGAAAAGTGACCTCAAGTATAAATAATAAGTGGCCACTTGTTGTCTTTTCAAATTTAAAAAAGCCTTCTTTTTACCTGGTGATTAGGTCATTGCATAATGTTGTCATTTGGCGACAACTACCTAAGAGATGTTTTACTGCTATTTCAACCTTCCTGGGCCTTGATAAATTTCTCTGGTAGTGTTCATTATGAAGTCACGGTCGCCATATTGGTGTACAAAGCAATGAAATGGCGGCCATACACGTATACAGAAAAAATCCTCAGGGGACTGAATTTTTTCTCATGTTAAAATTTTCTTTTGTTCCAAGAAATTTGAATAGCTCAGACCGCCCGTGACGTCATGGCGACCATGTTGGTGGTCCTCTGGGAACAAGACGCCATGAATTTTCATGTAAATTCTTTGAAACAATTTTTGTAGTATTGAACACCAACATGGCCGCCATGTCAAGTGGCTGTAAACCAAGAATAGTCAATGACGTCATTACGAAAAGGTACTTTGGAGCGTTGGCGCAATTTCTCGTGTTATTGTAGGAGTCTAAATCTCGGTACTTATTCCAGGTTAGCAAACATTGAAAAGGTATTGAACATCTTGAGACATGTAAGGATTACAAATATTACGATAAATAACCATGTGTTAAGCTTACATGGAGTAAAAACTAATTCCGGTCCTCCGATCTCTCGTAAACTAAGGCAAATGAGGTATTGTTATGGTTTAAATTACAGCTCTTCGCAGAACTGAATAATAGCAGTGAGACTTGAACGCAAAATGAGAACTTGAATTTGTGGCTTTCTTTTAAACCTTGTTTTCCTGAATATTATCACCTCTCTCTCGACCAATCATAAATAACGCTTTTACACCCAATCGATACCAGAGTTTGCTATTAACTATTCTCCTTACCTACCCGAAATTAGGAATTTCCAGGATGGCTCGGGGTGAGCCCCTTTGTTTTTAGATAGTTATGTTTCGCCGCAAATTGTAAATAAAGTGTGTTACTGTTCGTTGAAAGAGATGTCCGGCCATAATTGTTAAAGAAGAAGAAATACTGAATAAAGTGCTTAATCGCTTTAAAGATGTTTGCATTTCTGGGTGGAAGTGTCGCGATAAAAATACGTAATCATTATCAAGAATTTCGCTCTTGGCAGTTATCCAGGTTGCTGTTAGCTTTTTCCATAAAAAATAATAATAACCAAAAAAAAAAAGCAAACAAACAAACAACAACGCCAGCAACTGCTAAAACTCGAGAACTTTCCGTCAGCCATCTTGCGACGTGAACAACCTGCTTAACCAATCAAGAGCGGGTAAAAAAAGTCAAGGAGTTTGGTCATATCGATTACAAAAATTAAGAAAGACAATGTTCTCCTCGTTTGCCAATCAGCTCTGAGTAACATTACCGGCCTTTGTTATTAAGTTTGTAAACGTATACAAACTTACGCGTTTACTAGTTAACGATATAAACGGTCAGTTATCATCATTAACGTTTGCTTGTGGACAGCCGGAAACGCAATGTACGCCGTAAAAATAAAACAGGTTACATTTGGCTTGTCTTATCATATTGGTTGCCCTGTGGTCTGGGCGTATGTGCGATCACGTGGTAATCAGAAGTTCACACCAGATTTTCTTACCCATAGTGCCCCGGACGCGAGGCTTTTGTTAATGACAGTTATTAATAATTGAACAAATTTGAGCAAATATTGTGATTTGTCAATGGTGAGTATATCAATTCTTTTGGAGATACCGAAGGCAGGGGCAAATGATTGATCTGAGCGACAGTGAAAAATCATAGTTTCGAAGGACGGTTGATTCCTGCCAGGAAACGGGACTACCTTTTCCACAGTTCTCTGTTTTTTCCAAAAATTTTCACTGGACCGACCCATGTTCCATATACGTTGCAAGTGAACTTTCTGGAAACGTTTTGAAAATGGTAAAAAACCGTGAGATGATCAATATTACTCAAAGATAGGCTATTTGTGCAGCAAAACAATCCAGTCATTTTCTTCTGCATATGTTATAGACGGTTATCTCCAGGTGACGCAATGATATCTAGACCAATCAAGAATTTGGAAAAAAAACACATTGAATGATAATGGAGAATATTAGATGCTAATCCCCCTTTGAGGGTGTGGTTTTCGGTAACTGTTAACTGAACGGTATGCAAATGTAATTCACTTGCCCAGTAATTGACATTGAGTTACAGCGTACGGTTTGAGAAAAGCGATAATTTAATTAAGTTAATTTGCAAAATATGAGTCTGGTTCTTGATATCAAGAATTTCCCAAATTTATCATCTGTTCTCGCGGAGATTGAAAAGAAAGGACGTCGACCTGAAAATTTCACGGCAGTAAATTCAGAATTTGAACAACTACATCAACATGAAAGGAAACCGGCATCCTTTACTGCGATGGACGGAAACTCAAGAGCATTCATCACCACGGATTCTCAGTTGGCAAATTTTGACGAAGAAGTACGGAAACCAAGATCCTCTACAGTTACAGGCGATATAAGAACCTTCATCGAGATTGATCCCGAGGATGTAAATTTATACAGTGTAGAGAGAAAACCAAGGTCCTCTTCAATGATGGAGCGAGGCGCCGTAGTGGATGCCAAAGCAAGCGGTAGAGGAGAGCAACATAACCCGTTTAGATTGGGGCGACGCGGCAGTGATCCAACTGGGCAGACGTTGAAGACAGCCGGTTCGCGAGTACGAATTCACAGTGCGCCACCGTGTCTGTCTGTTGATCGTGAAACGTTGTTAGCAGATAGGCGATTCACGGACGCCGCCAAGAACCTGAGCGATGAACAACTGGCGTTGTTGTACGAAGATATTGTAAAGCCTTTGGATTTCTATGCCATGTTGCATGAAAGGAGAAAGCAGTTTTGAGATAGGTATTGCTTGAAGTTTGGGGGACACTTGATTTAAAGAGATTGACGGCAACGGTGTTTAATTTTGCTCTCTCGAGAGGATTGAACTCTGCTTTTTTTGTAAATTTCATAAATGAATTTAGTTTTTGCCTTTTTGTAATGTGGTGTTCAGTTCAAAGGTTTTTTAGAAGAACATCACTTGTACCATGTTGTACCGAGTGGGGATCTAAAGAAAGCGTTAGTGGCACTAATTTCGTAATATAATCTTGGTTAGGTTATATGCTTCTCGGTTCAGGTTTAACCTTTATTTCATACTTACGTTAATCTTTTAGGGAGTTTTCTTCTTGTTTAATTTGTTTCTTAAAGAAACGAGTGCAACTTCTTATCCGAAACGCCGAGCCATTTATTGTATTTTGTCGACTAAAAAGGTCAGTTTTCGCAGAAAAACCTCATATAGATGAGAATATATATGATATATATAGTGAGGGAACCAGCAATTCACCAAGCTCTTCCATGCATTGTGTCCATTTTGCTTTGCCGATAATACTTATTACTATTATTGGTGACGAACTGAAATTAAGCGTAGAGTCAAGGCTGAAGTGGGGAATACTACAAAGATATCTGCTGGAGGCCGTGTTCCTTTGTAACAACACCTCATTTTACATCGCTTTTCGCTGAGATCACCCGAGAAAAAAGGGTTAGTCAGGGTGGGGGATGTCTTTTGTACGTCTGTATAAGCTGTAAATCTAGTCCACTCAAATCCATCTAATTGTGCAAACACATAAGCGCACTGAGTTTGTAGCTGGCTATTCCCTTGTTTACATGTGTATTTAAGTATAATTACTTAGTGGGCAGATTGTATTTTTTCTGTTTTGTTTTTAAATTTATCTTTATTGACTGCATTGTATGAGTTTGAAACAAAGAATGAGATGTAAATATAGTGGTCTGTATCCTGTTCCTTGGCCTATCTTGTTAATGTCATCTAAATGGATGTTGAATGAGTACGTAGTGTTTTATCCACAACAGCAATAAATTAAATTTGGATTATATGGAAGCAAGCGGATATAAAAGAGGATTAAGCCGGATTCGAAAAAAAATAAATGAATAAAAATAAGACCACGAATGTCAAGTACAGGTAATAGACTAAAGATAGGTCTTATTTAACTGCGTTTGGTTACTTTGCTGTAACGGGCCTTCTAGATAATTGATTGAACCCACAGCTGTCGATCAGTACCAACGGGGTCCGGTACCACTTATCGTAGTTATACACCTTATTTGTACTGAAACCAGCCATTAGCGCCTCATTTTGAACTGAATCGTCCCCATCAAGAACCCATCAACCTTCCTTGGCGAACTCGCTCTTAATTTTTTGGCACTGCTACGTTTAAATATAGCCTGAATTGAACAGCTGTTACAGTTTAATTTAAAATGCACTTTATTGAATTGAACTGAATTGAGTTTCCATGTATTTAGAACAAAACTACTCAAATTGGGGACACTATATTTTACGTCTCCTACTGGAGACGGGACCGCCATTTTACATGGTCATCCGAGCCACGCGAAGGTCTACCCGTTTGCTAGCCTCCCACGAACTCGTGACGAACCCCTAAGAACGTCTGCGTCGGAGGCTACCCGTTTGCAGGGCAAAGGAAGTACCTTCGTTTCTCAGTTGTTTTGAGACCCTGGGTACTTGGTCCGGCGCCAGGAATCGAATCCGCGACCTTCCGCTCTGCAGTCACGCTTTCTACCGACTGAGTTAATCCTGCCGCGGTTTTAACACTATAATTATTGAAATTATGAATATATGAAAACCATATATGTGAACCGCGGAGTGAAGAATTATTTGAAGGAAGATCATCGCAGTTATATACGCAACTTATGCAGTTGCGAAAAGAAATTCCGTACAAGCATGAATTTTTTTTCAGGCTTTCTTTTCGCAACTGCATAAGTTGCGTATATAACTGCGATGATCTTCCTTCATATAACACTATAATTATTGTTATTATCTCAGGAATCTCCTTACCATGATCTGGTTTCCCCGCTTAATTTGCTCATCACGCTAGTTTCCAGGTTGGTGAAACAGATACCCAAGTTATTTTTTCTTACTTTCTAGTCTTACCCGTTTTGTTGTCTAGTATAGTTCTTTGGTTTCTAAGAGACGAACGGAGAGCATATATGATATGTTAGCTTAAATCGCGATGAGCAGACTGATGCGCGTGATGGGAGCAAGGGTGGCGCGGCAGTCAGTGTTGAGAGCACTCGCCCATCACCAGTGGGGCTCGGGCTCAAATCCCTGTGTCAACGCCAGATGTGGGTTGAATTTGTTGTTGTTTGTTCTCTCCTTTGCTTCCAGGCCCCAGTTGATTAAAAGGTGGATAGCGCTATCCACCGGATAAATCTCTTATATATATCCAGTGCATACCGCAATTGGTTTCCCTAACAGTTATCCGTTGGATAGTAATATTTATCCGGTAGATAGCGCTATACAACGTTTGAACAACTGGGGCCAGAGTTTTTTCTCCGGGTACTCCGGTTTTTCCCTCTCCTCAAAAACCAACATTTCTTAATGAATGGTAGACGAAGAACCAATTTGTGGATATGCTTCCTCTAAATTGTTATTTAATTAAGTTAAATAAGTAAATCTAATAACCCTATAAACCTAAAATGCTGCGCCGAGTACACGGAAGGTAATAGGTGATAATGATGTTATAGCCTTAGTGCTACCCTTAATACGTTACTTTTTTGTAGTACTTGTCATAGGCTACTTTCTTGACAGACTGACAAAACTTGCGGTTTAGAACAATTACAGTACATATAGCTGGAGACTTAAGTACTCAAAGAAAATACACGGCCGAACCTCCTATAAGGGACCACTCAAAATTCGAAGATTTAGTGTTCGGTTACGAGAATCCACCCTTTGGGATGCCTTCCGAAAAGAGATCCGGACACATCTTCCCCATGGAAGCAAGAGAGGATAAAGCTCTACGATACTTTATCCTCTCTTGATGGAAGAGAATTTATAGCATGCAATTTCTAATTTGAGATATGTGTAATTCCACGCTTTCACTGAAAGTTCTTCGTATACGCTAAGTGGCGTAGTGCATACACTGTGCATACAGCGAACAAAGAGATCAACTGATGCGTAAAGTGGTAGCTTACAAGAAGTTAAAAACAATGGAAAATTATAAAAGCGTCAGCTCAAAAAATGATCGCGGTGGCTTATCAGAAGTGGTCGTTTATGAGAGGTTCTAATTATAAGGCTTTGACTGGGAAGTTATGGGAGGTTAACCGTACAGCACAATCAACTCTCGCCTTGCGGGCATCTCCCGGGCGCTGTAACGGACAACAGCTTAATCATACGGACGTTGACTTAAGTCATGTCAAGTGAACTCTTGCTATTACGGACTCTTGCTGTTAAGGATAATAAATCGTGCCCGGAGTAAAGGAAGTTGGCTGCGACCGGTAATAACAAAGTTTTTCTTTTTCTTTTTTCTCAGGTACTTTGGACAAAGTGACTTAGCTGATCCTGGATAATTATTCTATATCTAGAGACAGCCATGTAAGCGGTGAGATAAAGCGACACACAAGCTTCCGTTTGTCTTGCTTTTTTATTTAAATGCGGATTGTACGCATTGCCAACGCCGCGAAGATCTTCAGAAAGTGTATGAGGTGCTAACAAGAAGGCTTTTCACACGAGGACGCGAAACAGTGAGAGTTTTCAGGTGTAGCTGGTAAATACTAAAGCTTCCAGTCTACTATAAGGACAATGGAAGGGGCGGGATAACAGAATTATCTGCGAGTCTGTTATGTAGTTGTTGTGGTTCATAAAGTTCGCGCTATCCGGGATAGCATCCCCGCAAACTTTCCTGTTCAAGCTAAGTATCCGAAACTCGTGTTCTCAGAGCCTTTTGGAACTCTCGCTTAGATGACGTGTACTTTTGTTGTCTTTATGTAACCCGTATTAGCTCTTCAACGGACGGTGAAGTCGGCGGCGCGCTACAAACGAAGATGCCAGAGTAGTGACGGTTACGCTAAAGCAAAATGGTTGGGGGGGGGGGCGGTGAGGAGGCGGTACATTTAGATACATTTTTTTTTCTCCCTCTTC